CCCTCGCCACACCGAAACGCCATGCCACTGAAGGCTGCGGCTGCCTGCCTGCTGCTGCCTGCTGCACCCTGCTGCTGCCTGCTGCTGGTGCAGCTGCTGGTGGCTGCTGCTGCTGCTGTGGTGCTGCTGTGGTGCTGCTGTGGTGCTGCTGCAATCAAACAGCCTCCAAAGCAAGAAACAAACAGCCAGACACCCTTTTCGAAACATCCGAAACAGCAAAACAACACCAAATTTCGTCCCCAAAACATAGCAAAGGAACCCCCCAAAAATTGAAACTTTGCCGCTGCCTGCTGCTACCTCCTACTCCTACTTGTGGACCGCACAAGCAACAAAAGCACCTGCCAACAGCTGGCTGCTCTGCTACTGCTACTTGTGAGCAAAATCATTCGCAATAACAAGCTACCCGGAGGCCGGCTTTACTTCTCCTGCTGTTGCTGCTGCTGCGCCGGCTGCGGTAGTAGTCCGAAACAAGAGTCAAAAGTATTATTCCCTGGCGCGCTCCCCCTTGCGTCTGCCGGGGTCAGCGGATATATAGTACTGTATAGTACTGGCTGCCTGCTGGCTGCTGCAAAAACGTGGGTCCCGGACAGGGAAACACCATAGCAGTGAAGGACGGAGGCTGCAGCTGCAGCTGCCGCTGCTGGTGCTGTCGTCCGCTGCTGCTGCTGCTGCTGCTGCTGCTGCTGCTGCTCTTGCTGTTCCTGCGCTGCTGCTGCTCCTGCCGTGCAATCAACCAGCCTCCAAGGCGAGAAACCAACAGCCAGACATCTTTTTCGAAACTCACTCGAAACAGCAAAACACCACCTAATTTCGTGCCAAAAATGGCGCAAAATCGCAGCAAAAAAGTGCCTAACGTGTCTTCTGAAATCCTAGAGAATCCTAGAGAATCCTAGACTATACATGCTAGAAAATCTTAGACTATATATAGTACTGGCTGCCTGCTGGCTGCTGCAAAAACGTGAGTCCCGGACAGGGAAACACCATAGCAGTGAAGGACGGAGGCTGCTGCTGCTGCTGCTGCTCTTGCTGTTCCTGCGCTGCTGCTGCTCCTGGCTGCTGCTGCTGCTCTTGTTGTTCCTGCGCTGCTGCTGCTCCTGCCGTGCCATCAACCAGCTCCAAGGCGAGAAACCAACAGCCAGACATCTTGTTCGAAACTCACTCGAAACAGCAAAACACCACCTAATTTCGTGCCAAAAATGGCGCAAAATCGCAGCAAAAAAGTGCCTAACGTGTCTTCTGAAATCCTAGAGAATCCTAGAGAATCCTAGACTATACATCCTAGAATATACATCCTAGAAAATCTTAGACTATATATAGTACTGGCTGCCTGCTGGCTGCTACAAGAACGTGGGTCCCGGACAGGGAAACACCATAGTAGTGAAGGACGGAGGCAGCTGCAGCTGCAGCTGCCGCTGCTGGTGCTGTCGTCCGCTGATGCTGTCGTCCGCTGCTGCTGCTGCTGCTGCTGCTGCTGCTCTAGCTGTTCCTGCGCTGCTGCTGCTCCTGGCTGCTGCTGCTGCTCTTGTTGTTCCTGCGCTGCTGCTGCTCCTGCCGTGCCATCAACCAGCTTCGAAGGCGAGAAACCAACAGCCAGACATTACATCTTGTTCGAAACTCACTCGAAACAGCAAAACACCACCTAATTTCGTGCCAAAAATGGCGCAAAATCGCAACAAAAAAGTGCCTAACGTGTCTTCTGAAATCCTAGAGAATCCTAGGGAATCCCAGACTATATGTCCCAGAAAAGCTTAGAGTACTGTATAGTACTGGCTGCCTGCTGGCTGCTACAAAAACGTGGGTCCCGGACAGGGAAACACCATAGTAGTGAAGGACGGAGGCAGCTGCAGCTGCAGCTGCCGCTGCTGGTGCTGTCGTCCGCTGATGCTGCTGCTGCTGCTGCTGCTCTTGCTGTTCCTGCGCTGCTGCTGCTCCTGCCGTGCCATCAACCAGCCTCCAAGGCGAGAAACCAACAGCCAGACATCTTTTTCGAAACTCACTCGAAACAGCAAAACACCACCTAATTTCGTGCCAAAAATGGCGCTGCTGCTCTTGCTGTTCTGCGCTGCTGCTGCTCCTGGCTGCTGCTGCTGCTCTTGTTGTTCCTGCGCTGCTGCTGCTCCTGCCGTGCCATCAACCAGCCTCCAAGGCGAGAAACCAACAGCCAGACATCTTGTTCGAAACTCACTCGAAACAGCAAAACACCACCTAATTTCGTGCCAAAAATGGCGCAAAATCGCAACAAAAAAGTGCCTAACGTGTCTTCTGAAATCCTAGAGAATCCTAGGGAATCCCAGACTATATGTCCCAGAAAAGCTTAGAGTACTGTATAGTACTGGCTGCCTGCTGGCTGCTACAAAAACGTGGGTCCCGGACAGGGAAACACCATAGTAGTGAAGGACGGAGGCAGCGGCAGCTGCCGCTGCTGGTGCTGTCGTCCGCTGATGCTGCTGCTGCTGCTGGACGTTGCAAGCATCTATGGCATCGGGAAATGTACCATTTGTCGGTCGTTTGCAAGCGGCAACGGCCCCAACGGCCTAACGTTGCTTTGTGAACCTGAAATCACACGAAAAGTAGCCGTCTTCTAGCTTTCCAAGCTCAGAAACGGCGCCTCCGCCACGCCCAAACAGCAGGGCCCTGAAGGACGGACCGGGCCTGCCGACAACGGCCCCAACTGCCTAACGTTGCTTTCTGAAATTACACGAAAAGTAGCCATCTCCTAGCTTTCCAAGCTCAGAAACGGCGCCTCCGCCACGCCCAAACAGCAGGGCCCTGAAGGACGGAAAAGCATCGAAATTGCGACCAAAAACTGCCTAATGTAACTTCTGAAACCCATAGAAAAGGATGATTTTAGCTACTTTTTCCTCCTGCTGCTGCTGCTGCTCCTGCTCTTGCTACTCCTTCTGTTCAAAAGACAGCTCCCGGATGGGAAAGCACCATGGCAGTGAAGGACGGAAAAGCATCAAAATTGCGACCAAAAACTCCCTAATGTAACTTCTGAAACCCATAGAAAAGGATTATTTTAGCTACTTTTTCCTCCTAAACACCATGGCAGTGAAGAACTGAAAAGTATCAAAATTGCGCCCAAAAATTCCCTAATGTAACTTCTGAAACCCATAGAAAAGGATGATTTTAGCTACTTTTTCCTCCTGCTGCTGCTGCTGCTCCTGCTCTTGCTACTCCTTCTGTTCAAAAGGCAGCTCCCAGATGGGAAAACACCATGGCAGTGAAGGACGGAAAAGCATCAACATTGCGCCCAAAAACTTCCTTAAATAATTTCTGAAAGGGAAATCCTAGAAAAACACAATTTTTCGAGAGATTCTATCGCCTGAAGGTGTTCGAGATCTCGCACAAAGTTACCATCGAACTTGAACCTCGAGGATGCGGCCTCGAACGAACAAATCAGGGCGGGAAGGGCAACCCAAGGAGCCCCACGTACCTCGAGGAGACTCCGGGAAGGACCACCCACCGGTAAAACAAAAACCCCGGAGTCAATGAATCGACGTACGTGACCGGTGGGAGGGGGACCCAACAGGGTCCCCCGGCAAAGGGTCATTGTCATTGTTGTTGTTGTTGTTCTTCTTCTTCTTCTTGTTCTTGTTCTTGTTCTTGTTGTTGTTGTTGTTGTTCTTGTTGTTGTTCTTGTTGTTGTTCTTGTTGTTGTTCTTGTTGTTGTTCTTGTTGTTGTTGTTGTTGTTCTTGCTGCCTGCTGCTGCCTGCTGCTGCCTGGGAGTAAAAGTAGCAGTGCAGCACCTCTTCTTCCCTTACGCGCTCCCCCTTGCATCGGCCGGGGTCAGCGAATTATTATTATTCTTTCCTGGCAGCTGTGTCATAAACTCTTTTTCCCTTACGCACTCCCCCTTGCGTCTGCCGGGGTCGGCGGATATTGCCTTGATTCTTGCCATACTTTTTGGTTCTTGATTCAGCTCCTTTTTTCATAGGTGCCTTGTCAAGTTCTCCCAGTTCTGTTGGTTCTAGAAACCTGCCCAGTCTTTTATATATTTGCGTCCGGAAATCAAACCTGTAATCTGGCAAAAGAACCATTCCCCCACTTTAGTCATCCATTCATAGATGATTTTTCATGTTTTTTCTAAAAAGTGAACATTTTTCCAGCCATGGCTCTCAAGGCAAATGCACCTCTGCGACTTTGGCGCAAACATCAAGGTGGAGCGGCGAGTGATGGCAACGCTGCAAGAGATTCTCTATCAACATCAGCTTCCTTGTTGATCACCGTTAGGACCTATGGTAGTAGCAATGGGTAATGATTTATATATACATGTATAATATATATATACATACGTATGTATATATATATGATATATATGTATGTATATATATATGATATATATATATATATGTATGTATATATATATGTATGTATATAATTATATATATATATGTATATATATATACATATATATCATATACACATACATATACATATATATATATACATATATAGTAGTTGTAGTTATAGTAGTATAGCAATATAGTAAAACCGCACGATAGTGATACACGAATATAGTAAAACAGTGAGATAGTAGTAGCATAGTCACACAGCAAACAAAGTATAACAGTCACATGGTAGGGCAGTAATATAGTCTAGTAATACGGTGACATACAGTAATATAATGAAATAGAATCATACAGTAATATAGGAGTCGTAAGAGGAACGCACATAAACACAACGCTCTTTGTCAGTTTCCACGTTATCACCATCGCAGTTTCGTTTTCACAATGGGAACATGGTGCTGCACGGCTCCGCAACGCTTTGGCTCAGGGGTTTCATGATATGCCCAGCATTGATCCATGGAACGGTCAAAGTGAATCTATTGAAACTTGATGGAAGGATATACGTGCACAGTTGCAGTGATATTGACACCCAGTCTTGCCTCGAAACACAAAGGCTATTTCAAACTTTCTACTATATGGACCTACATGGGGTTTCTGGGTGTCCAGAAGATTCCTAAAGCCTCACCTGATGGCTTGATTACCGAAGCGCAATGGCTGATAGGGGTTGCAAGGCCATGCGCATGTGGGACTTTTCGGACCTTCCCGAAAATTCCGCCGGAGATCTCTTTCGGTTGCTTCCCTTCGAGGGCTATGAAGGGGTGCTGTCGTTTCTTCCAGTGGACCGGCTAGCCATAGCTACCCGGGTCTCAAAGGGATGGCAGTACGCAGTGGGCTGCAGAGCTGAGAATGAATATGACTATTCCATCACCTGCAGCACCAAAGACCAGTTTAAGAATTTCCTGCGATCGTTTCCGAGATTGGGTGTCTCCGCAATCCGCTGCGATATCTCGAAAATGACCGACATCAATTCAACCGAGTTTATTGCCTTTACCGGTTTTACAAAGAAGGATTTGGGGATCTCACATGTGACATGGAGGTGCGAGCACTTCTATCAATATCACTCCATCTTTCTTCGCGACCTCTTCCCTTTCCTCAAGTCTTTAAAAATTGAATACGTGCATCATCCTATAGACACCGTCAAGGTGTTGCTACCTGAGCTGAGGCGTTTGTCACTTGGACCTGGTATACGAGTCGCATCCTATGAGGTTTTCTTGGGTATTGTTTTTGGTTTTCCCAGCAATTATGTACAATTTGGATGAATGGGTCTAAATGAGGTATTCTGGTTTATTATCTTTTTGGTCAACGAGGTCAGTGGTGAACTCAGGCCGCCGAAGTGGAAAGTTAGTGGGTGGCGTTTGCTGGACTGGCCAGGGCTTGCCGCGGCACTTGAAGTCGTTGCATTTGGAGGGTGTCAAGTTTCTGATGCACGGAGCCGTGGCTGGAGGCGACATCTTCTGGACCTTTCTCCAGCAGGACGGGTTTTCCATGGGGTCATTAGGGGATACTAGGGGCATAGGTGGATTTGAACATATTTGAACGTTATTGGCCCAGCTAAGAAGGGTGCACTCCGGTTTCAACACCTTCAAAAAGTCAGAACCCACAGGCCATGCAAAGCTCTCAGCTCCAGGTTGAATTCTCGGATTTTCTCCTTGACGTTGACCAGCCCTGGTGGGAGAAATGGGGTACGAGCTTTGAGCGAGGCATCCTGGACTGGGTCAGATCTCGGCCCAACCTCCTGCGATTTCGCATGAAACGTCTGAAGAGAGATCTCCATGAACAGATTCAGCAGCTGTTGCGGGAGCGGCTGGAGCAACGTGCTGCACTTGATGCAAGGCGACGGCGCCTGGAGGAAGAAACAGATGATGCGGATGTACTCGGGCTCTTTGGATCATCAGACGAAGAGGATTTCGTCAACGTACCCAACTTGTTTGGATCCGACCCAGGCTCTCCGCTTCAAGATGACTTACCAGTGTCTCCGAACTCTCCAGAGGACTCGGCAAACCTCTTCGGAAGTGATGATGACTAGTTTGGAGGGTGGAAATCAAGCGTCCTTGCAGTTCTGGTGTGCCATGGTCAAACTATTTCTAGTTCTAGTCCCCAAAATGGATGCACATTCCATTATCTTATGTTTTTTCAGAAACTGTCGTCAGATCTAACCCTGCGACAGATATTTTTTTACCCGGAGGGGCCTAGAGACAACGGGTGTGAAGTTTGAACAATTTTGAACAACTTTGATGCAATAGCAGGGGCCTGTGGAATACCCGGCCCACCTTCGGTTGCCCGATTTCCATTTGAGGACATGCGAAGAATGGGTTTTCAGCTGCCGCGCCGCCAGGAATGCCCCAACGCTCCCAACTGCAAAGGTCCCATGGGTCTTTCTCTCAGAAGAATACATGCTGCTGCAAAGATAGGGGCTCAAAGGGACCATATATGTATATCCAGTCACATTTTTCAGTACATATGGATCATCATAGATCTTCCAAGGTTTGTGAAGGTGATTTGGGCGGTTGACAGATATGGCTTTCTCTCTCAATCTGAGAAACTCATGGTTTTGGGGCCCTCAGCATTGACAAGCACGTGAGTCAAGACTGAAACCAAGTCAGCAACCAAGAAGTCCATTGGAACAATGGAAACCTGGCGAGCCTAGGCACCACATACTCCATGCCGCGGCTCTATAGCTTTCCCATTTGGAGCACCCGTGTTTTCGTTCGAGATAGCCTGAAGGTGTGGGGCCTTGGCATCGCAGGATTCATGGAAGGTTGCTGAGACATTGGTAGACTTCATGACACACTTTGAGAAAGGTCCGCAGATGGTGAAGTCTGATTTTTGCAGTTTGAGTAAGTTGAGTAAGTGGAAATTTTGTGAAATCATCATCAGCTTCATATTTTAACATCTTTTATTACTATATATTACTATTCAGTGCAGGAGCTTTCTTCATTTCTGATTGGGGCAGCTGCCGCCTGGGCCTGGGGCTCTCAGGCGGTCTTCCCCGATTTGGCGGATCAAATCGATGCGAAAGTGGACCCTGGAGAGCTGGGAGCCGAGAAGCTGATGGAATATGCTGGAATCATGTGGGCACTTGGACATTTCAAACCTATCATGATATCATTTCCATGACTACCAAACCTCTGGTTTGTCAACCACGGGGAATTTTGGGAGACCAATTTTTCAAAAAAGTCCTGAACCTTTCAAACGACAGTTTGGTGCCGCAGGTATGGTTTGGAGAGTTACCATTGCCGTTTGGTGCGGAGCTCAATCGAAGCTGCTGCGATGATCGATGGGGCTGGGAGATGCACTGCGAATATCTGCGGATTACAGATAGAAAACTCCTTCACCAGCATATTTTAGCCGGATCTAACTTTCCTATCTTGTTGGGACTTGCAACAAGTGATTTCCACCAGATTCCAAGAGGCTTGGCTTGGAGAGCAGATACATATCGGTGCCTCAGGAACACTAAACAACTGCAGTAAAATACAAATTTTACAAAGACATTAGATGACATTAGCAGGTATTGATACTGTATGTCCCTATGTCATGTCCCAAACCTGAGATGTTGTATTCTGTCCCAATCATTGGAGCCGCCTACAAGATGACGTTGGAATGGCATGTGGCTTGAACGGTGGATCAGAACTTTTTCCTTTTGAGGGTTGTCAGAGAGGAGAATCAGATAATATCAGATACATGATACAAATCAGATACATGATAAATCAGATACATGATACAGAAATGATACAGAAATGATACATGCCTCTGTTTCTAGGCTAGAATTCCATGTTGCAGCCATTGGTACAGATGACATGCCTGGAAATCCTTGGAATCTCCACCCTTGACCACCACCGCTACGCCCAACTGGCGTTGCTGGGACGTTTGATCTTCCCATGGCGTTCTTTGGGTTTAGGCTGCTCCAAAGGCTGGATGGGCAATGGTGGCTTCTCTTCGAAACTATCCAAATCACTTGAGCTAGTTAAACAGATGTTAAACAGATGTTAAACAGATGTTAAACAGATGTTAAACAGATGTTAAACAGATGTTAAACAGATGTTAAACAGATGTTAAACAGTTAAACATTGTTCAATAGCCTAGTTGAATCAATATTTTGAATCGCCGCAGGTACCGCGAGGCTTCGAAGGCGAGACCTCTGGCGGTGGCCTTCGTGACGTGCTACGGCAAGGGCACGGCCTCGGATTTGGTGGCGCAGATGCTGGTGGAGAGGACGGGCTTGGGAAATGATTGGGAAATGGCCATGAAACATGGGGAATTCCTGGGGATTGGTGATGTGATATGGTGAAAGAACGGTCATATCATGGTGATTACTGGGGAAATAGTATGACATAATGGTGATGTATCAACGAATGATGAATAAATACAGGTAAAGCTTGAAATGACCATAAATGGATGTATATACTGGACTACTGGGCATTTAAGGGTGATCACTGATATAGAGATAATGATGAAATGATGGTGATATAGATGATGGGATTTCATGGGGGGTTGTCATGGGGATCCAGCATCGGGTGGGATTTACCAACATCGGGTGGGGATTTAACGGGTTTGTAAGCAGCAGTATGATAAATGGGTGTCTGACATGAGGTTTCTCCAATTTATGGCAATCTTCATAGGGAAAATGATGATTGATTAATTGATCATGGCATTTTTGAGGAACCGCGGTACCTATTCTCAGACACACCCACGTCTTCCATTTTTCAATAGATTCTTGCAATCTTCCCAGCTTCCATGGCATACGGTCGAGGAAAAGTCAGCCCAGCGTTCAACGCAACGTGGCCTTTGCGCTTTTCAGTGGAGCCTACTTGGGCATAGGTTGCTTCGGGGGCAGGGTTTCATTGCCACAAGGGCAACGGTGTGAGTTACCTGTGTCATGAATTAAAAAAGGGCCCGGTGGTCCCATCGAAAAGTGTGGGAGCGGATTCAACTCCCCACACGAGGTCATTGACCCGTGTCACGACATCATACACCAAGTCCTTGGTCGATCCGTCTCAATTCATCGTTTTCATTGCTGCCTTTGAATTCCAAAAAAGTATAGAACACATCTCCGGGAGTCCGGGAGCATCAATACTTGAATGTTATAGCCATTATAGCTTCCATGTTTCTCCATTTTCACACTCCACCAATGGCCATCCACAAATTCTCCCGGAGGGCAACACTTCGTTTACAACGTGGCTTTCACGCGCATCTTTGGTGCTGGCATGGATCTGCGAGTAGGCGTGCAGAAGGTCCTCGCGGATCTCTTCTGCCATGTGCTTGGCCTTCACTAAAAATGGGATAAACAATTGGGGATTTCACACCCAAGAAATTGCTATATATGCAATACATACGTATATATCTAATATATATATATGTATTATATATATATATGTATTATATATATATATATATGTAATATATATATGATATATATATATATACATACATTATAAGTATGTATTATAAATATGTATTTATGAATTATATATGTATATATATATATATATCATACATGTATATATAGATATGTCATATACATATATATAGATATGTATTATATATATATATATGTATTGTATATATATATATGTATTATATATATATATATGTATTATATATATACCTGTGAAGCATGGCGACATGTCACTTTCTGTAGGCATCTTTTGTCCGAAAACAAGGCACCTGAGCCTTTGGGAGTTTTGAGGGTTATGAGCCCAAAGACATCCCTGCGTTGCCCCTTTTGTGTTCGCAATGGATAGGGCTTCGTCTGAACCGCCGCAACTGCATGGGGCTCCTGGAATCAACCCTTTCTGGTCAGACAGAAATCAGAAGGAGGTCCAGCTGCTCGCTGCCAGACCTAGGGAACTGCCGAGGATGGAGCAGTCGCCAGAGGCTGGGGTGTTGCCGGTCCGTGATGGCTGCACTGGTAAGGGCCGTGGAAATCAATCCCTTGGAAAGGTGGCTTGCTTTGAAACCCCACCAAGCAGAACTTTGAATGGCGGTGATGATGGGGCTGAAAATCGGGTTGCAAAGGTGAAACAATCAGAGGGTAGAATGCCTGATGATAGGGATGGAAGTCGCATGTCTATGGGAAGAGTATCTATGGAGGTGACCATGGATGATGTTTCAAAACCTTCTGTAGACGGGTTGCAAAGAGCGTTGGAAGTTGAAGTTGTCAACCAGTTGCGAGTTCAGAATTCGCAGTTGATGGAAGAGGTAGAGAAACTGAAGGCCATGATGTCTCAGTCTGGAAAAGGGTCTTCAGGGTCATGGTCTGAACTTGGAGGGTCAGCTTGTGCGGGTGTGCCGCCTGAAGCTGATGATGGAGGACGGCGACATGGAGGGTATCACACACCAAGGAGTGCTGCTCGTACCTTTGGGTCGGGGAAGCGGGATGTCCGGCTCACTCCGAATGGAACTAGGGTCCCTGACGGAACGCCCCCAAGTAGCGAGACTCCTCATGCTGAACCATGTCATGCACCTCAACCTCCTCCAGCACGACCTGTTGTTCCTCCTTTTCCTCAATCCTTCATGGTGAATGACAACATGGAGCAGTTTTTGGAAGGTTATGAAAAAGTAGAATCAAAACCCAAGGTGATGAAAACCGATCCAACGTGGGAACCCAATGGGGAGATGACACCACGAACTGCTAGGGCTTTTTGGTTGGAGCAAGAGGTAGTTGCACTACAGGGCTCACTAGCACGTTTGTCTGAGGGGAATTCTCTCAAATCTAGTGCATACTGGACGAAGGGTTTCCATCCACCAACGGGTCCACCTGTCCGGCTTTCGAACTCGACGGAAGCGGGTGCTGGCGCAGCTGATCATCTTCTTCAAGCTCGGGCTAGCATGGTGAGCAGTCAGAAAGAATGTGGCGGTCACTCGCTTGGCGGATGTGGTGAACATCTTGGACAAGCTCGGGCTAGCAAGCGTGGCTTCGAGCATCTTGGAGGAGATCATGGTCACTTGCTTGGCGGAAGCGGTGCGCATCTTGGACAAGATCGGGCTTGCGCTGCGAACTTTGAGCACCCCGGAGGAGCGCCTGGTGACTTGCTTGGTGGAAGCGGTGCACATCAACGACAAGATCGGGCTGGCACTTTTGGCATGAGTTCTTATAAAGAATGTCATGGTTCAGAAGATCCACATCAAGCTCGGGCTTTGCATGGGCATGGGACGTCCACGCTGGAGCGACTACATGATCACGGTCCTGGAGGCTTCACAGATCTTCCTCGGCATGGTGTGGGGGGAGGTGGAATTGGAGAAGGATCGGACCGGGTCTATGGTCCGTGGTCAGAGGGAGGTTCTATGAACACCAAGACAGAACTCCCTGACCTGCCGGCAACGTCATCGCCGCTGCAGTTTGGAGACTGGTTGCATTTGAGCACCCCATCCATGAAGGACATCAGTGGAGTCGCAGGGTGGTGGTGGGAATCAACTCTTCGAGAAGCCAAGTGCTACTATGAGCAGTGGAAAACCAGTTCTCCTTTGCAACGCATTCAAATACGTCCACAACTGCCTGAAAGCCTTAGTGAACATCGCTTTCAACGAACGGAGCAGCGTGGAGTGCAAATGCTTTTGAAGGCGATCCCCTTGGCTGAGCAGCAGGAGCTGGTCACTGATCGGTCGCTGAGCTCAACAGCGATCCTGTACAAGTTGATGGTGCGCTTTCAGCCTGGCGGAGCAGGAGAGAAACAGATCCTCTTGCAGCAGCTCACAACAATGGAGAAGAGCTCAACGATTCAAGAAGTTGCATCAGCCATCAGAAACTGGCGCAGACATTTTGGTCGAGCTGAAGAAGTTCAAGCAGTTCTTCCAGATGGGATTCTGTTGCTGAAAGCTTTGGACGATCCCTTGCAAAAGATCGCAGCCATGGACCAACAGGCAGCTTTCAGATTATCCCAATCAAGGATGCAGCTTCAACTAGACCAACAACCAACTCAAAGAAATCTTTGGGTGTTTTCCCAATGTTTGTTGGCTGAAGCGGAAACCTTGGTGCTGCTTCAAAGCTCTGCTTCATCGACAACGGTGACGCCTCTCAAGCTCAAGCAGCTGGATGCAGACAAGAAGTCTCCAACCAAGGTGGCCAATGGAGATCCAAAATCCACAACGAATGCAGTGATCGAGAAACCATGTCGCTATTTCATGTCTGACAAAGGCTGCAAGGCAGGCAAGAGCTGCAAGTGGCAGCACGACTGGGAAAGCCTCCCTGACAAAGGAGCACGATGCTTTGTCTGCGGCAGCAAGGAGCACAGGAAGAATGACTGCAAGCTGCGGTCCAAAAAACCAGGTGAGCCATCTGGCTCAGGGGGAGGAACAGGCCAAGGACGTGGGGGGAGCAGCAATGATGTGACAACTCCTACAACTACGGCGGTTTCTTCCAGCTCTTCCAGTGTGGGCGGCAAAGCAGGCGCAGCAGCAGCGACAAAAGTTTTGAACGCTGACAAGGTGAGCACTGCAGCCACTTCAACATCATCAGCGTTTCCAGCGGAGGTCAAAAATGTCAATGGATCTCCGGAAGAAGGGGTCGGCTCAGGAGATGGTGGAACTGGAGGTGATCCCAAAGGAACCAAAGCTGATGAGTTGCTACATGAGGCAACGCAACTACTGAAGTCACTGCGAGTTCAGCCCAAGATCAATGTCATGCAACTGGCGGGACTGGAGCAGGCGGAGAATGACTGGGTGCTAATTGACTCAGGAGCCACACATGCCCTACGTCCTGCACATGATCTACATGAATGGACCAATGCTGAAAGAACGGTGGTGCAACTGGCAAATGGTGAGACGGAAGCCTTTCGCCTCAAAAGGGGCACCAAAGTGCTGTTGGGGCATCCAACACAAACGACCTCAAGAATTGTGCCAATGGGCGGTCTCACAGCACTTGACTTCACCTTGCAATGGTCTGGAGATCGGTGTCAGTTGCGTGATGATGAGGGCAGAGAATTTGAAGTGCGAGTTGTTCAGGGCTGCCCCATGATATCTCTAGCAGATGGCCAGAGAATTTTGGAATGGCTGGAGTGGTATCAAGTGCATCAACAACGGAAGCTGGCGATGGTAAGATCTTTGCTGGCTGATGACACCCAAGTGGATCGACAGCGCTTGGACTTGGAGCTGGCTTTGACCTACAAGCTGCGGCAGCTTTTTCCACATCTTCCTGATGAAGTCATGATGAGAATAGCACCGCATCTGGAAATGGTCAAGACAGAGAACTTTGAGTCCAACTTGCCATGGAACCGGCACAAGCGCAGACGATTACGTCAGGCCAAGCACGTGATCCTCCACTTGTTCTCAGGCCCAGATCACAACTATTGGGATCAAAGATGCGCCAATGCCAACACGGAGGTGCTTTGCATTGATACCACATGCTCTACGCCTGCCAACCTCCATGATCGGAATGTGTTTGGCTACTTGCTCACACTTTGTGCCAGTGGGCGAGTCAGGGCAATTTTGGGTGGTCCCCCTTGCAGGACAGTGTCAGCTTTGCGGTATCAAAATGATGGTGGCCCTGGAGTTCTGCGGACCGAGGAGCACCCATATGGACTCCCAACTCTGAGTCCTGCAGATGCGGAACTGGTGATCGCTGACTCAGTTCTGATGTTTCGTTTTTGGTCTTTGCTCATGGTCGCTGAGGAGATGCGTGAGGAAACAGAACCTCCAACACAGTTTTTCATGGAGCAGCCTGAGGACCCAAAACGGTATCGATCAGAAGCTGATGTGCAACAGCATGAATACTTCTCAGTTTTCCGCACTGCTGAGTGGAAGGCCTTGGCGGAGAAGTACAACTTGGTGCAGTACCATTTTGATCAACATCCGTTGGGGCACTCAAAAAGAAAGCCTACATGTCTGGCCACGAACGTGCAAGAAGTTCGGCATCTTGATGGTGTGCGTGGAGCCCCCAGCAATGAAGCAGAAGCTGGAGCTCAATTTAGGGCCATGACAGTTGACCAAAGATGTGAAGCTTCAAGAACATGGTCTCAATGGGCCCTTGGGTTGAAAAATGCGATTTCCTTGGCCGTGAGCCAGCGGGTTCAGTGGCTTGACAGGCATCCTGATCTACCTCAACAACCAGCCGTCAGGACCCTGGGCTCTGCAGCTCTCGAGTCATGGAAAACGCACTACCTCCACGACCATATGCCCTCTCGTAGAGATTGCCAGCACTGTGTCAGGGCACAGGCACGTGCACGCCCACATCGGCGAGTTCAGCATCCGGAAGCGTTCACTTTGTCGGTGGACCTGAGCGGCAAGTTCACGCCGGGCATCAACCAGGAACAGAAGCAGTGCAAGTACTTGCTTGTGGGGGTCTACACTTTCCCCATCACCAAAGATGGTGTGCCACTGGCTTCTCCGGATGGTGTTGAACCTCAGGATCAACCGCTTCCTGGTTTGGATGAGCTCGAAGCTGAAGATGGAGCTGAAGAAGGGCAAGATCTACTGCAAGAGCAAGAGGATGACAATGTTGAAGTGGAGGGTCAAAGTGAAGAAGAGGACAGAAAGGCCGAGAAGACGGCACATGGCTGCTTGCTGGCCTGGCAGAAGCTTGCGGAGGAGTCCATGAATGTGACCGTAAAAAACATCACCTTTGTTGAGACCATCGAAAGTCGCAACTCCCAGCATGTCTTGCCGGCCATTGCCAAGATCTACAGCCGATTGCGACAACTTGGTCTTCCAGTGATGCGGTTGCATTCTGACAGGGCCAGAGAATTTCTTGCAGCTCCTTTGCGACGATGGGCGCAAAACAGGGATATTGTCCTCACAAAAACAGCAGGGGATGATTACAAAGCCAACGGGCGCTGCGAAGCAGAACTTGGCGTAACCAAGCGAGCAATTCGCACTGTGATCTCTGCTGGCAGGTTCAACATCAACCTATGGCCGTTGGTGGCACGGCATGTTGGAGAACGTCGCCTACGAGCTCAACTGCGTGGCTGTGGCTACCCTGTTGGGGACTTGCTGAAGTTTGGAACTCAGGCATACGCTCTTCGGAAGTGGTGGCAAGACAACCATGAAGAATGGGCCGACACCAGACAGCCAGTCTTGGTGCTTGGACCAGATGCCTGTAGCACATTGACATCAACCAACTACTTTGTGCAGTCCATTGACACGGGTAAGTACTTCTTCACGGCCGATGTCATCACCCCTGACTTTGAGGCGACGGAGGCGGCAGTTCTTGGGCAACATGATGAACAACAAGCTCATGAAGGAGCTGCTCCGCGACCAATCAGGGCTGACAACGCCATTTACCTGCCTGAACGAGATGAGGCTTCTCGCCCTGCTGGCATGGATCTTCAACCAGCACGACGATTGCGAGGCAAAACAAAGCCTGCTATGTTGCATCGATTGATGCGGGCACCAATCGAGGGGGAGGATGACCCTTTTGAACATCTTGGCCGAGTCAATGCGCCATCATGGGAGAGAGACAGCGATGATAGCTGGTCTCTGGAGACAGTGCCATCACCAGACTCATCTCTGGACGGATCTGGAGGTGGGGAGGAGGAGGAGGCGCCTAATAGTCAGTGCGGTGGCTCATGCCTGACAGCCTCACAGGAATATGAAAACTTCTTACAAAAGGTGCAACACAACTTGCACATGTTGGTGATGGATGAGATGGTCCACATTGATGGCACGGCTGATGAACAAGCTTGGTGCATGCCCGTGTTGAAAGAGATGCTGGTGCAAAAGGCGGAGGTTGAAGAGGAGCTGATCATGATCAACAGAGAAAAAAAGGAAGCTCTGGAAAATGGAAATGAATTCCTGGTGACAAGAACGATATCCAACAAAGAGGTTTGGGAAGACATCCAAAACTGGGAGCCCTCAGTGAGAGCTGAATACGAGCAGTTGGTGAACCAAAAGCAGGCTGTGAAACAAATGAAGAAATCTCAGCTTCGACAACTTGCTCAAGAAAGGCAGCTCCCCATTGAATTGCTCCCGGCCAAAATGGTCCACACCCGCAAAGCCAACACAGGTGCGTACAGATCTCGTGCCGTTGTATGCGGAAACTATCAAGATGTTGGCACTGAAGATCGATATGCAGGCGGTGCTGATGGCTGCCAAGTCAGGGCCTTGATCAGAACCGCGGCGTTGCGGGGATGGTGTCTTGCTGGCAGTGACATCAGGGTAGCGTTTTTGAACGCTCCAAAACGTGACACCACAAAGATCACGGCCATGGAGGTTCCAACCATTTTCAAGCACCTTGGATTGGCTGATGCGGAGGACGTATGGGTCATTGAAAAAGCCCTTTATGGGTTGGTGTCCTCGCCAAGAGACTGGGGCATACACAGAGATGAGAGGTTGCCCACGTTGCGCTGGAGGCGGGACATTGGAGGTGTAGCTTTTGAAGGGCGCTTTGTCCACTCCAAAGATGAAAACCTGTGGCGCTTGGTGGAGGTCAATCAGGAGACTGGCGCTGAAAACTGGGCAGGCTTGATGTCAGTTTACGTTGACGACATCTTGGTGGCTGGCGAACCAAAGACAGTGAAGCTGGCTATGGAGGCGATCCAGAGCAAGTGGACGCTATCGGAGGTGGAATGGGCAGCAGACAAGCCTTTGCGCTACTGTGGCTTTGAGGTCAGCATGGGTGCGGCTGGAGATGGTTTCTACGTGTCCCAAAGCATGTATGAACAAGAACTTCTGACAAGATGGGGCATTGAAGAATCTCTACAATACCCTGCTTTCAAGGTCACGGAGGATGATGAGCACTTCACGGGGGAGATTGACCCAAATGATGTGCGCACTGCCCAGATGCTCACTGGAGCACTCCTATGGCTGTCGACGAGAACAAGGCCAGACTTGGTTTTTGGAGTCTCGGCCATGAGCAGGCTGACAACAAAGAACCCCAAGAAGGCGGTGGAGATCGGGTATGTTCTGCTCAAGTATCTTCATGGAAATCCTGGTGGAATGCACTATCCACAAACGATTCCTGGAGGTGATTGGGGTCGCCGAGACCAGCTGAAGGCCAGACGGCATCAAAAGATGTTAGAGGTTTTTTCTGACATCTCATATGCTGCGGGCGCTGACCACAAGAGCATCCAAGGCTTGGTGGTGTACTATGCTGGGGTTCCCATAGCATGGCAGTGTGGAGTTCAACCATTTGTGGCGCACTCAACTGCAGAAGCGGAACTCATCGCATACTGCGAGTCTTTGGTGGTGGGAAGGGCAACAGAAGCACTTTTGGCAGCTATCTGGCAACAGTGGGATTTTGAGAAGGTCACCTATGGTGACAATGCGGCGGCCATCAATTTGGCTCACGGTGTCACTACAGCATCGTGGCGCACACGGCATCTCAGAATCCGAGCCAGTGTGCTGAAAGAAGCTTTGGATGAAACAAACCGCAACCGTGGTGGAGGATGGAAGCTCTTGCACCTCAAGGGGACGGAGCTCGTTGCAGATGGTTGCACAAAACCTCTTCAAGGTCAAGCCTTTACGCAGTTTGTTGATGACCTTGGTTTGAGGAGGACAAGAAGACCTGCTCACGAAGAACGACCTGCTGCTGGCGGAGGACACCATGGAGCTGCCATGCGGGCGATGATGGTGGGCAGTGTGCTGCTTTCTACAGCGGAAGCTTATGCAGAAGAACCGGAACCTGAAGGAGACTTCACCTGGATCTGGGTGACTGGAGCCTTTCTTGTGGCCATGGGAGCAATCTACACTGGACAGCTGCTTCACAAGGCGGCGAAATGTTGTCTGCGACGATTGCAAGCGTCAGAAGGAGGCAAAGGTCTTAGACTGGAACAAAGGTGGAAAGATGCTAAGGGTTCTGATGAAGAAGAACTGGAGGATGATGCATCAGCGTCTTTGAGGCGACGAACCCATGTGGAATCTGGAAGCTGTGGACCGATGAGAACTATGAAAAGCGAGGCTGGATCTATGAGGGGCCGCGGTGGCTCAACTTCATCCATGACTTCACGGCCACAGTCGGGCTCGCATGGTGCTGATGTCGAAGCTACATCATTTCAAACCAGGCGACAGTCGGGCTCGCATGGAGCTGATGTCGAAGCTACATCAACTCAAACCAGGCGACGGTCGGGCTCAGCCGGCGCTACATCGTTGGAGACCAGGCCACGTTCGGGCTTGCAGGGTGGCGGAAGCACTATTTCTTTGAGTATGATGCCACAATCGGGCTCTTGCGGCGTGGTTGAAAGCATTGCCTTGAGTATGACATCACCGTCGGGCTCAGGCAGCGCGGCTGAAGCCACCTCCTTGAATATGACTTCACAGTCGGGCTTGGGCAGCGCGGCTGAAGCTACCTTTTTGAGTATGACTTCACAGTCGGGCTCTCCAGCGGGCGATCCTGCTGCGATGGGCGCTGTAGCTGCTGAAGGTAGGGTAGCGAATGAGGCACTTCCAGGACGGGACCAAAAGAGGCCAGAAAATCCCTGGAATGCCTTTCAACATGCACATAGAGGAAAAGGGCTGAACTCCCAGGTCTTGTCAAAGATCTACAAGGACCGAACAGCCCCTAATACGTAGGGTAGATGCCTTGAGCCTGCAGTGTTGCCTTTTTAGGCTTTTTCGTAGCCTCATTTGCCACAAAGGCAAGGGGGAGCCTGTGAAGCATGGCGACATGTCACTTTCTGTAGGCATCTTTTGTCCGAAAACAAGGCACCTGAGCCTTTGGGAGTTTTGAGTATATATATATATTATATGTATTATATATATATATATGTATTATATATATGTATTATATATATATGTATTATATATATATATATGTATTATATATATATATATGTATTATATATATATATGTATTATATATATATGTATTATATATATATGTATTATATATATATATGTATTATATATATATACGTACTGTATGTATGTATAAATTACATATATATATATATGTATTATATATATATGTATTATATATATATATATGTATTATATATATATATATGTATTATATATATATGTATTATATATATATATGTATTATATATATGTATTTTATGTATATATGTATTATATATATATATATACGTACTGTATGTATGTATAAATTACATATAAAATATATATATATATATATGTATAGTATAATTTAGGGCTATCCTAAGTTTGAGACAAACCCTTATGCATCCCGCCAAAATCCAAGAAATGGATGGTTGAACAAGTGACGTCCGAAGCATGACCACTTTTGTGGCTTTTGTGGGTCAGTCCGTTGATACCTCGATTTTGGCGCTGGGAAACGATCCAAGGATTTTGGGTCCTGGTCAGACCGGCTTCAAACACGTCCAACCACTCCGAAACATTCACATTTAAGATTCCCAATGTCAATGTCACTCAGTTTGTTGAGTGCAACCTCTCCTCAGGTGCCTTTCATGTATTTACCGCTCTACTACATGTTCGAAGATACCGCCTTGGGTGTTGGTAACCCACAGAGTGGTCTCCAACGATGGTGGAAGGAGCTGCCAGGGACGATGGCGGCGTATTGCAAAATTTTCCCAATGCGTCTCGACTGCTTTGGTGTTCCTAGGAGTATGTCACCAGACCTCAATTGACACTGTATATTTCTTGTGAAAAATCCGGAAGACATTGATGGTACCCTCTATGATTTAGTTGGTAAATTTGGTATTGGACTTTCCAATGATGTTTCCATGCGGGCAACAGTGGCATGACTTGGAGAGCAGCAACAATGGCCATTGGCCATTAAACCAAGTGGCTTTACATGGATGTGGAAAAAGAACAGTTGGACCGCACAGTCCCCGCCACTCTTTTTCCGTCTATTTCTTGGGTCCCAAAGACTCGAGTGGCGGTTGACTTCTTTGATTTCTGGCCGCGTTTCTTTCCGTGGAGGTCATCCGAAACCGGAGAAGAATCCCTGGAATGATAGGCCTCAGTCCTGCATAGGGACCGAGGTACAATCCGAATCAACAAGTTCTGGGTATTTGGGCAACACACCCTTGGGGCAACTCGGAGCTTGTCATTCTTGCCCCATTCATACGTCATCGTAAGACGCAGGGTCCCATCGTAGCCTGGCTTCAGGTTTCATCTCTTCAACTTCACCGTGACGCCTCCGGAACTTCGAATTAGCTTGATCGCGTGCGTCTCCTTCGTATGGCTGGTGGTTCTGTCATACATCTCCCATGATGCAGTGGAACACCCATCGCATCAGGAGTGAGCTGTGCCGAAGAAGTCCAGATGCACCTGGCAGAAATTTATTGCTTAGTACAAAAAGGTACTCAGCTGCTGGCTTGAGGCTTGAAGTGTCCATCGTTTTCAAGGTTTGGGCCGGAGCCAGGTTTGCGACTGGACAAGTTTAGATGTGTTCCCCCCTCTGAGGCCTGCATTTTCATCTTCATGTCTGGGGCACCCGGTGGTGCAAGTGGCACATGCAACCCCCCTAGATGATGGTGGTGAGTCTGCTTCAAGCCTCTTGGAAACTGAGGTTAGAGCTTTTGGACATCCCTGAGTTGTCTGGATGAACTATGGATCATAGACCTATGAGCTGCCATGACATCAGAGAGTCCCTGAAGTTAGGATCTATGGTCAGTGACAGTCCGGTATAGCCGTATAGCCCAAATACAAACCCACTGGCTTAGAAGCCAGCTACTAAGCATCAATTCTCGTTTCAAAGATCATGGCAGGAGAAAGACCCTGATTAGTTCAACCTGGCAGCATTGAGGTTGGCAGTGGTGGAAGATCTAAAAGAGTCCTTGGGTCTTGGGAGGACCAGGGGCTTCATTTGGTTCCCCGGCCATGCCAACACAACCGGAGAATCGCATGACATCGCATGACATCGCATGACCAAAGCTTCGAGCAGCTTAGCACACCAAGCCATTTCCGTTTTGACTTTTCACATTTGAACTGTGAAACAAAAAAAGATGAAATGAATGGCCCGCCCATGGGGCTCATCCCAGAAATCTCATTTCCTGCCCTGGGGGTCCCTCCATTGCTCTAATTGCTCCAGGACCCTATGGCGCCTGAACAATCGGACCGAGCCGTGGATAAAGCCCGGGAGTCCCAGATTCACCAACGAAAATGTGGGATTTAAACATTGAAACATCAAACGCTTGGGGTTTAACCATCAAAAGGGGGATTTCAGATGATTTAAGTGGTTCCATGGCATTCTATCGTGTTCTATGGCATTCTAAATTCTAAGGGTTTCTCTTAAAAGGACTGTGACTATGACTCTGACTACACAAACAAAGTGGTGAGTGTCTTAAAAAGACTACTGCCAACCATAATAATGGTGAGATGATGAGGAACTAATTACATAATATTACATATTGGAATATATTGGATATCAATGGGATACAATCAACATAAGAATTGGGTTTGTCTTAAGACGGATCTGATTGGGGGATTAAAACAGTAATTTTAATCAGGGAAGGTGAGATAAGTCATGTTTTTCCCCCGGGCACCAGACCCATGTCAGCCATCTTTTGTTGGGGTATCCAAGCCAAGGTTCATCCATTTGGGCCCAATCAACATCCCATGATGCCATGAACACAAATGTTCTTGCTGCATCTTGCTGCTTACTATGTCGCGACCTATGCCTATGTGTTTTGGGATCATCACTTCATCACTTGTCTTTGACCTGTGGGAGGTTTGGAGGTGACCCTTCAAGGCCAGAGAGCTGAGACTGGCCTTTTGACAGCATCCTCAGGTATTCCTTGCCACAATGGGCCAGCAAAGAGGAAGTAAAGAAGATCAAGGCCCGCAGTTGTTGGAAGCTGTCAGAGGCTGTTTGCTGCTCCAGTGCAAAATCACGCCTTACACGTCTGGGAATGGTTTCAAAATTGGATGTCCAGCAAAGCCTCGGATGTTCCAAAGAGTTACTCGTACCAAAAAGTTGTGAAATTCTGAGGGTTGGCAGAGCCTCACAGTAATATGCCCCGCAGCGTTGACCCTCGCGCCCCACGACGTCGTCCCTGGCACTCCATCCCGGCCGCGCGTCGAGCCCATGGAGCAACGTGAAGACCACGCGGATGGCGAAGTGATCCAGACAGATGCCGGGCTGAGATTGGTGCAGCCTTGCCAAAGCGAAGAAATGTGCCAAGAGCCCATGGAGCAACGTGACCAGGCACCTGGCCAAGAGGTGATCAAGGCGGATGGTGGGCTAGAATTATATCGGCGCAATCTGGCGGAGGTGTCTCTGCCTGCAACATCCTCATCTTTTTGGGGTGGGGTGAATGAAAGGATATGAAATGGCTCAAGAAAATCAGGTGAAGTTGGAGGGTTGATGCTGAAAATGACATCTGTTGATGTTGGAGGGTCTTGAAATCTGACCCTTATCCATTTTGTTGTGAGCAAGAACTTGAGTTGAACTTGATTCTTTTTGTGTTCTGCCGCAACTTGCGGGAAATGCTGCCTTTGTTCGTTTCTCATTGGAACCTTGCAGCTGAGGATGGTATCCTTGCCGATGCACAGACGCCGAGTGAGGCAGGAACCATGGCACGTCCGGAGATGGATCCCTGCCTTTGCGGGGCCCAGATGCCATCCACCGGCGAAGAGGATCAAATGGATCAAATGGATGAAGTCAAGCTTGGAATGTCAGCCGCAAACCCAGCGATGCCGCCCGCCGCGACACCCGTCGTGTACCTGATGATGGGAAACCTTCAAATGTTCCCCATTCAAGGCTTTTTTATGGTGGGGCAGATGGAGCAGACGGCCAGTGTTAACCAGTTGGACGGATGTCGTTGGTGTGGCTGGCAGTGCTGTTGCTGCATTTGTGAGTGCTGCGGCTGTCAATGGGACAGCTGTCAGTGCTATCAACATGAGATGCTCAGCGGCACTTGGTGAAGCACATGTTTTGGAGTGAATCACATCATCAACCCAGAGAATCAACCTGACTACTACAGGCTTTGGGCTCCACAACAGTCTTCACTAGGTGTGCAGACATGCCACATACAGCAACATATTCACATGTCCTAGATGGATTTGAATTTGTGCAAAACTATTTACTGTACATTTATTTAATCAAAGGAAGTTGGGAATCAATCTTCCGAGTTACGGACAAATAGAATTGTGAGACTTGACATTGATGAAGGGTGGTGAAGTGGTGACAATACATCACAAATACATCACAAAGGAAGTGGTGACGAAGGGAAGCGGTGACGAAGGGAAGTGGTGACTAAGGGAAGGGGTGTCGAAGGGAAGGGGTGTCGAAGGGAAGGGGTGTCGAAGGGAAGTGGTGACGATGGGAAGTGGTGACGATGGGAAGTGGTGACGATGGGAAGTGGTGACGATGGGAAGTGGTGACGATGGGAAGTGGTGACGATGGGAAGTGGTGACGATGGGAAGTGGTGACGATGGGAAGTAGTGACGATGGGAAGTGGTGACGAAGGGAAGCGGTGACGAAGGGAAGGGGTGTCGAAGGGAAGGGGTGACGAAGGGAAGTGGTGACGAAGGGAAGTGGTGATGATGGGAAGTGGTGATGATGGGAAGTGGTGACGATGGGAAGTGGTGACGATGGAAAGTGGTGACGATGGGAAGTGGTGACGATGGGAAGTGGTGACGAAGGGAAGTGGTGACTAAGGGAAGTGGTGAGGACGGTAAGTGGTGACGAAGGGCAGTGGTGATGAAGGAGGGAAGCGGTGAGGTTGCAGATCGTATTGGAATGGCTGTAGTGATTTGTCAGCAGATTTTCGCAATTTGGGCGCTAGTAATTTTCCTGTTAAAAATCCGTTAAAAAGTGTTTCAAAATCGTCTTTTTTCTGCTTTGGCGTCGGGTTTTGGAGCTGCAATTTCCGACACCGTTGCGCGTAGTTCTATAGTGTTTTGCAACTCAGTCTCTACAGATCGCATTGTAGTGGCTGCGTCAAGGTTGCTTGGTGCCGCGGCTGCATGTGTAATATTATTGTCTTGTGCCATGTGCAGCTGGATTTCGTAAATCGTATTGGAGTGGCTGCATCAAGGCTGCGAAAGTGATTTGTCAGCAGATTTTCGCAATTTTGGCGTTAACAATTTTCATTTTAAAAGTCCTTTTAAAAAGTGTTTCAAAATCGTCTTTTTTTCGCTTTGGCGCCGAGATCCAGTTTTGGAGCTTCAATTCCTGTTGTGATTATGTGCAAGAAATTTTCTTTGTGTAAAAACTTTTTTCTGTAAAAGCTTGCTGTGTGTAAAAGATTTTGTGTTTAAAAGCTTGCTGTGTGTAAAAGCTTCTGTGTGTAAAAGCGTCTCTGTGTAAAAGTTTCTGTGTGTGTAAATGCTTGCCATGTGTAAAAGCACTGTGTGTAAGTGTTCTGTGTGTAAACGCTTGCTGTGTGTGAAAGCTTGCTGTGTGTAAAAGCTTCTGTGTGTAAAAGCTTCTCTGTTTAAAAAGCTTGCTGTGTGTATAAAGGCTTGCCATGTGTAAAAGCACTGTGTGTAAGTGTTCTGTGTGTAAACGCTTGCTGTGTGTGAAAGCTTGCTGTGTGTAAAGCTTCTGTGTGTAAAAGCTTCTCCGTTTAAAAATCTTGCTGTACTGGGAAGTATTCACCCCGCTTCGCGTGGGGTGGCCGCCCACACCGCAGGTTTATTTCGGTCCGTGAGAGGGGAAAAACCGGTCGAAAACATCATGTTCGACAATGCTTCCAATTGGGGCTTCCCAAGCTAAGCAATTTTCACTTTTCCCCGCCGTAGAGGCTTCCCAGGCGAGAATTTTCACTTTTCCCCCCCGTGGAGGCTTCCCAAGCTAGGGAATTTTCGCTTTTCCCCCCGTGGGGGCTTCCCAAGCGACGGAATTTTCACTTTTCCCCCGTGAAGCTTCCCAAGCTAAGAATTTTCACTTTCCCCCCCCGTGGGGGCTCCCCAAGCTAGGGAATTTTCACTTTTCCCCCCCGTGGGGGCTTCCCAAGCTAGGGAATTTTCACTTTTCCCCGCCGTGACAGCTTCCCAAGCTATGGAATTTTCACTTTTCCCTCCCTTGGAGGCTCTCCAAGCTGCGGAATTTCAAATAGCTAGACAACGACGCCTAGATAGTCCCCCAAATCCCGTGTTCTTTGAATGTGTTTCCATGTTTTTGCAATGGTTTCCTTCAAAGCACGGTACTTTACACTTTTGTCGCCATAAAACCGGTCGAAAACATCATGTTCGACAATGCTTCCAATTCCCTTATCTCCCCAACCGTTGAAAATACCGCTATTTACAGTGTTTTCTTCAATTTTTCCATGTTCCAATGCCGGTAGCCAACTCCAACATATATATAGAAATCCTTCCAAAACATTGTTTTTGACAGTGTTTTTCCAATGTTTCCAGTCAAACAGACGGTAATTTACACGTTTTTTGCCATAAAGGCAGTAAATCCTTCCAAAACATTGCTTTTGACAGTGTTTTTGTAATGTTTCCAGTCACACGTTTTTTGCTATAACGTCAGTCCAAAACACTTGTTTTTGCAGTGTTTTCAATGCTCTGGCATCCAAAAGCCCCGCAAAATCTTGCTATGTACAATGTTTTTTTCATTTTTGGCCGTTTTTCCATTGCCGGAAAGCTACCAAAATGACCCAAAATCCCATTTCAATACCTTTTGCGCTCAGACACCCAAAAATCCTCGAAAAATGTCGAAAACAGCACCGAATTCTGGTCTCGGTGCGAAACCGTTTTTGGCCCCCCCCCAGCTAAAGCTGATATAGCGACTGCTATATTAACAAATGTGATTGAGCATTTAGTGTAGCTGTTTCCCCCCAATAAGCACGCCTTCACCGCCAAAGCGGTGTGTGCGGATTTTGTGCAAGCTTTGTAGTACAAAGTAGCACTGGGAAGTGCTTTGTGCAAGCTTTGTAGTGCAAAGTAGTACTGGGAAGTGCTTTGTGCAAGCTTTGTAGTACAAAGTAGTACTGGGAAGGACTTTGTGCAAGCTTTGTAGTACAAAGTAGTACTGGGAAGTGCTTTGAGCAAGCTTTGTAGTACAAAGAAGTACTGGGAAGGACTTTGTGCAAGCTTTGTAGTACAAAGTAACTACTGGCAAGTAGATTCTGCAAGCTTTGTAGTACAAAGTAGTACTGGGAAGGACTTAGTGCAAGCTTTGTAGTACAAAGTGGTACTGGGAATGGCTTTGTGCAAGCTTTGTAGTACAAAGTAGTACTGGGAAGCAGTTTGTGCAAGCTTTGTAGTACAAAGTAGTACTGGGAAGTGCTTTGTGCAAGCTTTTGTAGTACAAAGTAGTACTGGGAAGTAGTTTGTGCAAGCCTCGTAGTACAAAGTAGTACTGGGAAGTGCTTTTTGCAAGCTTTGTAGTACAAAGTAGTACTGGGAAGTGCTTTGTGCAAGCTTTGTAGTACAAAGTAGTACTGGGAAGTGATTTTTGCCAGCGTTGTAGTGCAAAGTAGTACTGGGAAGTGCTTTGAGCAAGCTTTGTAGTACAAAGTAGTACTGGGAAGTGCTTTGTGCAAGCTTTGTAGTACAAAGTAACTACTGGCAAGTAGATTCTGCAAGCTTTGTAGTACAAAGTAGTATTGGGAAGTGCTTTTTGCAAGCTTTGTAGTACAAAGTAGTGCTGGGAAGTGCGTTGCGCAAGCTTTGTAGGACAAAGTCGTGCAAAGTGTGAAGTGTGGAGTGTGAAGAAAGCAGTGAGAAGTTAGAAGTGTGAAGTGTGGAGTGTGAAGCGTGAAGTGTGGAGTGCGAAGAGTGCAGTGTGAAGTGTGAAGTGTGGAGTGTGCGGTGCCAAGTGGAGCTTCAAATGTGACATGTGCCGGACACAACTTTCGCAGAGTGCACGCACGCACGGGCTTGGCTGGCGCACGGCGCATTCAAGTTCTATAGATGAGAAAGTTCTTATTATATATCCTTAAGGCAACTTCCGCCCCGCCTCGTGCGGGCACTACTGCTATATACATATCATCATGTTATATAAGACAGTAGAAAATAAGACACAAGGTATAAGACTCTTCAGGTCAGGTAGGTTCAAAAAGACAGCAATACACTTCACAGCATGCAAGGATGTCAGCCGAGTGGCGACAAAAGGGGCTTCAAAAGCCTTGGAATCCAAGGATGTCAGCAGAGTGGCGACAAAAGGGGTTTCAAAAGCTTTGGAATCCAAGCAAGGATGTCAGCGGAGTGGCGACAAAAGGAGTTTCAAAAGCCTTGGAATCCAAAGATGTCAGCGGAGTGGCGACAAAAGGAGCTTTGGAAACCCAATATTCCCAAGAGGTGCTCCAAGGAGAGCCTGGCCGCGCAGTGCTCACCTTTGCCCCCGGTGGCCGGCACCATTCGCTTAGCTTTGAGTCAGGCTGGCGAGATTGACGCGGACTTTGCCAACTTTGTCGAGGAAAAACCTGAGGATACCCACACCGGCTTACTCTGGTGCCCAAAGTGTCCCTGGAACGAGTCGTTCCACGCATCAGATCGATGGGAGTGGAAGCAGGGCCACGGAAAGCCATACCAGGTGTGGATTCAAAAAATGGTTTCCAAGGACAAGTGCATCAAAGGTGCCATGGGCATGTTCGACCACAAGAAGGCACGGTTATCTTTGTGGAAATTCCTTGGAATCAAATACGGCATTGGGAATCTTTCATGGAAATCCAAGTTTTTGGTGAGGCAAACCCTCTCCCCTAATTTTCCATGGCTCATTCGTTGAGCGCCACCTGTTCCTCTGTTTCGGGCGTCTTTTTGGCTGCGAGAGGCGGCGTTTTCAGCCAAGAACCCTGCCTACACCAGGTCGTTTGCAGCCACCATTTGGAGGGCAAGTGCGTCAAAGCAGCTGCTGACAAGTGCAAGTTCGAGCACCCCAGTAAGCAGAAGGTCGTCAAGGCACCGTTGATGAACGGTTGATCACGGTTGTGGTTGTTGTTGTTGTTGTTGCTGTTGTTGAATTTACTACTTGTAGCCAGTTTTTTTTGCAGATGAAGTCTCCAAAAGGTAAGAGAAATCATGGTTCGAGGGCTTGTTTTTCATCGATTGGTGTGGATTCCCTGCCTACCAGGTCCGTGTTTTGGTAACGATGGCCCATGGGCCATCACTGCACCATTCATCCGGTGGAAATCTTGGAAAGACACCATTCCAATTCTAGAATGGCGGGAGGCTACAACACTGCAATTGTCCCACTCAAATGAACTTATGTTTGATGGTTGAGATGCAAAATTTCAAAAGGCGCCCGCCTTTTGGTTACTTTGAGATACTTCTGAGGTTTCTTTAGCATGCACTGACCATCCGATTTTGGGGCCATCCACCTCCAGGCTCTTGCAGAGCTGATCCGTCGAGGGCGCCAGGGTGAAGATCTTCCAAGCTCCGCAGCGTCGGAGCGATCAACGTAGCCAGGAGCTGGGGGTTGGGGATGGTGGGGATTGGCTTGGCAAATGGGTTTCTTGAAAATGGGGCAGACACGCTAAGCCCATTTTTTTTAAAATTGAGCATTGCCACTTTGGTGGAGCTGCAATTTTTGGAGAAACAACTATGATAATTTTAGTGGGGGGGATGAGTATCTATAAGCACCAGCTATTCTGATGTGGAAACCAGGTACCAGGATTACCAGGGACTGATCCATGCCGTATACCCATGTGTTGTTTGTACTCATCGAGGATATGAACCAACCTGGAAATGCCGACCATTATTTGAACCGCGTGGAATAAGCGAGTCGATTCTGGGAGGGTTTGACATCACTGACATGGATATGTGTGAGACACGGTTCACATGGGAGATGAACCGCCCACCACACCCGAGAGGAAATGGGATATGGTGGATACGAGGCGGGGCGGGGATGACTAGCTGCAGTTCTAAGCAAAGCTACTTATGCGTGTGAAGATGACAAGCACAAAGTGCGTTGACGATGTTGACGTTTGTGTTGTAGGTTTGGGAACCAAAGAATTCTGAAACGTGCCCAACGAGACTGGAAGGCGTGCCATTCCGGCCCAGGTGGTCAAGAAAGGTTGCCAGCGCAGTCTCCTAGTTAGGAGTGGCGACCTGACTAGAACCGCTCCAGTCTTCCGGATATCCCCAGGATTTTGCAGCCAGTGGGCCCTAGTTTGGCCCTTGTTTAACTGTACAGAATGGTAGGGGTGAACCTCGTTGGTTGCTGGAAGTTTGAAGCAGAGTTATGTGCCAAACACATTTTTGTACAATGTTGGAAGTGACGCGCACCTAGTGGCAATGTGCTTTACATACACTCAACATTTTCATTGTGAAACGTACTTCACAGGATCGTTGAATTGACCCTGTTCCACAGGGTCGATGAAATATTATAAGTTCACCCCATTTGCTTAGAGGCTTAGTTAGAGGTCTCCTTTGAAGCAAAGGAGACAGTTCCCGGAGAATTTGCCATGCCTGCGAGTGGCATCAAATATGCATATCATACATACGTATGCATGATTTTAAGATCCAAAGTCACAAGACAATGGCGGATCACTACAGATCTTGAGGAACCCTGGAGGGTGGAAGGCAGGCTTTCATCCACGACGAGCGATTGAACACAGGAAAAACAAGTAAACTACCGCTCACTTCGCATCACTTTGCTGCCTGTTGTGATTACACTTTGCGTTCCTTCCCCCTGAAGAAGATTTCTGAATAGCCATGTAAGCGCAAATTACCACCTCTAAGATCGTCTAAGTTGGATGCCACAAGCAGTTATATAGCTTAAAACCAAGGAACTGTGGGTGAGAATGATTGGTTGCATTGTCCCCATTGTCACTTCTTATTTCTTATCCATTCTGCGTTTTCTTATCTATTCTGTATCACTGAGATGATCCCTCAAAATTGAGATCATAAGATCCATGCTGGGAATTGGGTCATACAGTCATACCATCTTATTATCCCAATTTTGAGGGTGGCCCCATACCCCAGTGACCAGTTGCATCCCCGGCTTGCAGGACTTGACGGAGCTCGATTGCGTCCGGGGCCCCTAAATTGTGGGGCAATGTTTTGCGCGAAACGAAGTTGTGATCTAGCCTTAGCCAGGCAATGGAAAAGCTCAATTTTTTAGAACGGCAATTTCTTTCTGATTGGGTATAAATGGATCATTTTGCTACGCTTATTTGAGAGTTCATGGGGAAACCCGGAAATCATCCCCAGCATGGTGGGCAAGTGGGGTTGTTGCAGGGGCCCATCTGGCCCATTTGGCGGGCCGATCTGCAGGTGAAGTTTCAGGTGGCCGGCATTCCGACACATTGGAAGGCTGGCCTCTGGCAGTTCAATTGGCAACGAAGGATCAAATGGGTTTGTCTGAAATTAGGGCAGCCGCACATTTGATAGTGTATCATCATTTTCTCATATTTTCGCTGTTATATAGTTTTAGGGTTGTACATACTACCCAAATCTCAGACACACCTAAATGGGACATTTAGAAATCGGTAGTTCTGAAATACGTGTGATTTTGGCCAAAGGGTGAAACCTGGTGGGCAAAGGCGAGATGGTTTGCGTGCTCATGTCCAAAAATTGGAAGCCTTGCAGAAGCCACCAAATCTCTGCAAGATTGTTGATTTCCCTTCCAGTTTCGTTGGGTATGGAATCAGCCAGAATGGTTTCAGGCCTTCTACATCTTCTTTGTCCTGCTGCCGAAGTTTGCTCTTTGGCTGGTGCGCAGCCGCGACTTTGCGAAGTGCAGGGACACTGGTCAGCTTTGTCCTGTGGAAGCTAGGGCTGTTACGGGTCAAAATCACTCAGCCTTACCAACCGATACCAATCTCCAACCAAATCTGAAGGTTGCTTTGACCCTCCAAGTGTACTACACCCGGTCAACTCTTGCACATAGCATGACATAGCTTCCAAGCCGTGTTTTCAAGCAGCCACTTTCAGCATTTGTGCAGGCTGTCGCAAAGTCGGGAGTGCACTACTTGATGGAAACTGCTGGAATTGCCGGATGACTTAGCTGCATCACTATCCTCTGCAACGTGCCACAAGCCTCACTGCTTCGCAGGTTGGTTAGTAAACATTCCACTGATGGGTTATACCAATGTCCAAGAAGCCAGCTATGTCACCAACCCTCCTATTTCTTAACCAATCAGGGAGATAACTTGTTGGCTCAGGTGGATTTGATCGTGAATTCCATGGCGTTGACCTTTGTCTTGGAAGTGGATGAGATGGACCGGGAACCCAACTGAAGCTTCACCTTTTGGAGTGGTTGGCAATGCAAAAAAAGGCTTCCTGGGTGGTAGTTTCATGTCACCTTCCCAATTGCAGACATTTCCGGAAACAATTTCACACAAATGGTTTCCACTTCGCAATAATTTCAAGCCATACTGAAGCGTGACACGTAGTTTCCTAGGCTTTGCTTCCCGAGAAATTCGAGCTGATTCAGACACCTGGTGCAAGCGAGGTCTTCCACCGCTTCACCACTGCCCTGACCAAGCACATCATGAACAACATCGAGGCTGTCCACCCAATGGCAGCCAGATATATGTCTCAGCGTCAACCTGAACCAAAGGATGGATGTCAAGTTGCAACATGCAACAGCCCCTCAAGCTGAGATGGGGCGAATCTTTTGCGTGCCGGCAGGTCGTGCTGCAGATGTGAGCCCCTGAAACACCTTACGTAGCGACCAAACAGATCCAACTCCAACAAACTAATGCCGCAATGCCCCGGTGAAGAACGGCACCGGGCAACTTGGGAGCATTTCCTCGGTCAGGATCTCCCCAACTTTGACACTACTAGGGAGGAGACTGAGACAGATCAGCAGGTTCGGTGCCATATTTGGGGGTTCAGAGAGTCACAGTGAATCCTATGAACTCATGAGAATCAGGCCCTACATCAAGAGCCCAACAGCTGAGCTTTTAAAGTCACTCAAAGGATAGGAAGAACCAGGAAGACACATGAAAGAAACTATAAGAAACTGCTTCCAAGAGGTTTTCAGGCTGAGCCGCTGATCCCTAGGCTCTCGAGAGATTCAAAGCTGAAGAGTTGGGAAATGCCAGTGCCTGGGCTCAAAACCTGGTTCGGTTCCACTCAAACCTTGGTGAAATCTCACCTTTTAAAGAAGTGGATATGGCATATATGGATATGGCATGATATAGCTCAAATATCTATATACTGGTTTTACTGTACAAATTGGTCTACTCTTCAAAACGACCAGCCATTGTCTGAGTCCGCCATGGCCAGTCCGTCAATTTACGCTACCGTCAGGATGGGCCAAGTTGCGTCTCTGCCTTCCCTGGCGATTTCTGATCGTTCTGCTCCTTGAGGTGGAGCTGGGAAGCCTGTAATGTGGTAAACCTATGTTAACCTTGGAATCAAACATACCCAACATTACTTTAAATGGTTGATAAAAATTATCCCCAACTAGTAGGTTTACTATTGAGTTTACCACATTATCAGCTCTGATTGTCTCTGGCTGTGGGCCACTGATGGTTGAACACACATTGTTGAACATTATTGTCACTCGTCTTTTCAGTGGCCATCAACGAGACGTCTTTGCACAGGCACTCTTCGTATTCCACTACTACCACGTGAATTGCGTAAAGCTTGAGGACATCGGTGCTGGTGGGGTGTGCTTGATCCCTGGATCCAATGGCCAAGATTCCTGGAGCCGTTCAGGTTGCTTCTGAATGGCAATTCCTGGAGTGACATCTCATTTCACCAGTTTCAACAGGTATCTTTTGTCTACATTGTTGCATGTCAAGAATTTCCCGACGCACAGGCTCTAATGTTTTTCCAGCATTTCCGCAGTTTCAACACACTTTCGATTTCGATTTTTGACTGATTTCGATTTTTGACTCATGAAATTTTGTCCATAAACTCATTTTTGTCCATAAAAAACCATAAGCTCATACTTATTTATGGACCTCTCATTTTTGTCCAAAAAAAAACTCGTTATTCCTCGAGCATTTGACACCTCAATGGATCTACTGGATCCACCAGGACGGCAGCTGGGTCTCCAAGGAGCTCCGATTGCCAAAGGACGGAACGGAACGCGTTTAGGATGGCAGAATCCCACAGTCAGCTGAAAATGATGGGAGATCCTATCTGAGAGCCTGTAAGATGTGTGGGGAATAGGGTCAACTCACAGTGTGCTATGGGAAATACTCGGAAATGGCACCATTTTTAAGAGGCAAAACATGGTAGATTAGCTACACATGATGACACATGAGTCTTAGCTATGTCAAATTATCAGAGGTGGCCCAGGATCAAACCAGGAGTTGACATTAGGTGGTGAACCTTTCACCTGGCAAATGAAAATAGCAAAACAACAACAATGTTCGAAGGAAGTTTAGAAGTCAAACTTCCGACAATATGGACAGATGCCAAGCAGAGATGGGAAGAGGCAGAGAGAAGAGAAGAGTAGAAGAGAGCAGATCAGAGAAGAGAAAGAGTCAGAAGAAAGAAGATGCAGATGCGCGAAAAGGTAGGAAAGTCGCGAAACACTGTGTTTTTCCAATGATTTGTGGCTCCGGAGGGTCGAAAAGTAGGCTCGCTAAAGCGGCGGGTGCGGAGCCAGCTGGCCAGATGAGAGGTCAAAAATTGCACGCCGTTGTGGCGCGAAGCACATTTGCAAGTCATCAAAATGTACAAAATACACCAGCTCCGGACCACTTTTGGAAGCTGAGATGTCGAAAAAGAGCACACCGTTGTGGCGCGAAGCATATTTCGAAGTCAAAATGTACAAGGCACACCATGTCCGAACCACTTTTGGAAGTTGAGATGTCGAAAAAGAGCACGCCGTTGTGGCGCGAAGCACATTTCGAAGTCAAAATGTACAAAACACACCATGTTCGGACCACTTTTGGAAGTTGCGATGTCGAAAAAGTGCACGCCGTTGTGGCGCGAAGCGCATTTCGAAGTCAAAATGTACAAAGCACACCATGTACGGAGCACTTTTGGACGTTCAGATGTGCTTTTGCGTGGCAGGCGCAAGGGATTGTGCACCTTGTCAACAGTGAGCAAAACGTGAGGGTTTTGTAGCATTTCCAAAAGCGATGGCAGGCGTGGGACATTTGAAGAGGATCTTCAAAGATGCATTTCGCGTGGCAGGTGCAGTACAAAGGACATGTTCATCAGAGATGTTAGGAGGTCAGGGCGCTGATTTCCTGATGGGGTTGCATTTTGGAGCATCAGATCTTCAGGTTTGCTGAGATGATTCTGCGTGACAGGTGCAGCACTTCGTATGACTTGGCATCACTTTTTCGTGGCAGGCGCAGTACTTTCGACAGGTGGACTAAAAAAATCGCAAAACGCATTGGTACGAAGCTGCTAGCTCTGCACTCAACTTTCCATTTTTGAAGGAAGTCTCGCAGAATTGCTTTGTTTTTGATGTTGTCAAGTTGAAAAATTGAAGAAGTCTCGCAGAAGTGCTTCGTTTTTGACGTTGTTAAGTTCAAAAATTGAGGAAGTCTCGCAGAATTGCTCCGTTTTTAACGTTGTTAAGTTCAAAAATTGAGGAGGTCTCGCAGAATTGCTTCGTTTTTGATGTGGTCAACTTCAAAAAATAAGGAAGTCTCGCAGAAGTGCTGCGTTTTTGATGTTGTCAACTGGTAAAAATGAAGAAGTCTCGTAGAATAGCAAGGTTTTCAAGCTGCAGATAGGTAGATAGATAGACAGACAGACAGACAGAGAGAGAGAGAGAGATAGATAGATATATATATATATATAGATAGATAGATAGATAGATATAGATAGATAGACAGACAGAAAGACAGACAGAGAGCGAGAGAGAGAGAGAGATAGATAGATAGATAGATAGATAGGATTAGATAGATAGGATTAGATAGATAGGATTAGATAGATAGGATTAGATAGATAGGATTAGATAGATAGGATTAGATAGATAGGATTAGATAGATAGATAGATAGGATTAGATAGATAGGATTTAGATAGATAGGATTAGATAGAT